TAAAAAGCTACTTGGATTAGATTAAAGACATGTGGTTTGCAGTCCTGATCAAACAACATTCCAAATTAGCATGGAGTGTATTAAAATGTCATAATTGTAAAGAAATAATTTAAGGGGTACTTTAGAATTAGCAATTAATATCCACTAGAGATGGAAGACACAAAGCATACAATTCCTTTCACACACAACAAGACTGGTCCACATATGAACTCACAGAGACCATGGCAGCAAGCACAGGAGTGTACAGGTCTAAGCCAGATAGCATCCCAACACTGAGAAGAGGAATAGAGCATGATCTCCCATTTCTAAGCATTAAACTATCTCCAACTGAAAACCACTTACAAAGAAAAAAATAGATTTCTCCACTGCAGTCTCACTGGGAAACCAAACTATACTAATGGCGGGCCCCATGCCCAGCAATAGTTTGCCTAACTCAAAACGAATGAAAATGTATTTGGGGAAATTTTTTTCATACTGTGCTTTGTCTGGACATAGTTTGTTTCTATTTTTGTGTTTTTTACTCTACTGTTGTGTTGCTTATATATTATGGGTTCTAAACTTGTTTTTATGAGCATTCTGTGAGCCCGTGTGTCTCTGCATGTATATGAGCTTTTCTATCACTTGTTCTTTTGATTTTCTTTCCTCTTTCTGTTTTTTATCCTATCCTGGATTGTTTGTCTTCCAGTTTTCCTGTTTCTTTTCTGAAAAGAGAGAGAAAGATGTCATGGAGTTGGATGGGTGGGGAGATGAGGAGGACCTGGGAGATGAGGGGAACACCATGATCAGAAAAGACTGTATGAAAAATATTTTAAATTAAAATATTTTATTCACTGTTTACATATGTTTTATTTTTCAAAACCCTCCCCTATACCTAGTATCACTATTTTATCTCAACTTCATGTATTCACTCTCTCCTCTTTATACCAAATGAAGCGATTTAGTGGTGCATGCATGTACATGAATGAGGGACTATATATATGAGAATGGGTAGCCTTATACAGGGCAAAGATCCATGAAAACTGACTCTTCCATCTCTAGCAGCCTATCCACTGCCATTAACTCCTCAGATGGGAGAGGAACTTCATGAGTCTGTAAGATGAATTGCTAAACAGTCCATTTATTTTTTTTTGGTTTTTTGAGACAGGGTTTCTATGTGTAGCTTTGCGCCTTTCCTGGAACTCACCATGTAGCCCAGGCTGGCCTCGAACTCACAGAGATCTGCCTGCCTTTGCCTCCCAAGTGCTGGGATTAAAGGCGTGCACCACCACTGCCCGGCCTAAACAGTCTTATTAATAAAAAACCTGGAGCCAGATATTGAGGTAAAAACTGAGAGATCAGGCAAACAGAAAGAAACCAGCCATGTTCTTACTGCTAGAAATCCTCAGCCAAAAAGACAACTACTTCTTATATACCCATGCCTATATGCCTTTTTGTCCCAGCTATCTTACTTCTTCTCTCTACCCAGTTATATCACTTCCTCTTTCTGCCCATCTGTGTCACTTACTGTCTGTCTGTACAGACCTCCAGACCTCTATGGTTAGTGCTGGGTTTAAAGGCATGTGTCACTATGCCTGGTTCTGTTCCCAATGTGGATCTCTGCCTCCCAAATGTTAGGATTAAAGGTGTGTGCTACCATTGCCTGACTTCTATGTTTAATATAATGGATGGCTTTTCCTCAGATCTTTAGATAAGCTTTATTAGGGTGCACAAATATAATATTACCACATGAGTCGCTCCTCCAGCCATGGTGGGATATAAGCTGGCTTGATATGGCACAAGTCACAAGCATATAGTCTTGGTGTTGGGAGTTGATGAGTTCAAATGTTCTCTTATGCCAGTAAATACTATTCAGATGTAGATATATACCAACTCTAGCTCAGCTGAGACAGTACTTCTCGATGGACTAGAATTTACCAAGTTGTCTGTCTGGCTGGCCAACAAAATTCAGAGATCTGCCTCTCAGTTTGCCTCATGTCCTGTCAGTGCTAACCCACACTGCTATGCCTTGACTTTTACATATATTCTATAAATAAAATTCAGGTGCTCATATCTGCAAGGCAAGCATATTGTTAACTGAGCAAACTCACCAACCCAGCATATTTTGATTTAAATGGAAAAGTGACACACCGAAACCGAATATTGTTCAAGGACCACAAGGCAGCTCACCTATGAAAACTTCCAACCCCATAATCTTCTAACACATCCCTGAAGCTTTATTCTGAACACAAGTATCTATTTTAGTCTTCTGAATACTGGACTGCAATCTTAAGAAACAACAACAACAAAAATTGTCTGTTGTTTCCCTGTGAACCCTAAATATGTAGTAGAAAAAGAATCACAGAGAACAATCCATACCACACATGGCCCAAGCATCTGTCAAAGGACTGAAGAACAATCTATTTTCCAATACTGTCCATTGTAGAATTTCTTATGCCACTAAAATGGTAGAGAGTCTCCTATGTCGTTCAGATATGTTTAGCCTCTTCTTTACCGCCATGCTACAATGAGGAAAACACTGCAGATAACATGGCTACACAACTTCTAAGTAAACTTCATGATGTTATCATGTTGCTTGAGTGTCATCATTTTGCAAATCTTATGCCTAACCAGGGTATTAGAGAATTTGTGGCTACAAGACACATCCAGATGTTTTATAATATTTCTGGTCAGTAAAGCAGACTTGATTGCTGTGAGAAAGTGTCTTTTATTTATAATATGAAACATGCAGCCACAAAATCTCAACAATAGAGATGTCTAAAGGAAGATTAACAAAATTACACAAGTTCACATGACAACATGATGGTCAGAAATCTCACAGGCTTCAATACTAGCTGAAGAGCTACAGGAAATTAAAGAATGTTAAGAAAGGAGAATCAGCCTTCTTCTGGGACAAGTCCCTTGATGAGTTATTAAATCTCAAGATATCAGCCCTAAACAAAAATATAAGAGAATCACCTAATAGACTCAACAATCAGTAGTTAAGGATACATCACTGTATTATACCATAATAATTAATAAGGGTAGGCCATAAATTTTAGAGCTAATGTGGTAACAAGATTTAATCCATTCCAGCTGCTGGAGGATTTGTGGCATAATATGTCAAGTTCAGGAATTGTCTCCTTTATAAAGGGTGACTGCATTAAAATTATATTCATATATGTATATATTTTAAAAAACTTCTACAGTAATAGGTACAAAAAGACTTACACAAGTTCAAACTAGATAAATCCCAGCATTATTAAAACACGTGAAACCAAAGTTCAACTCCTAATCAGGAATCAATTTTCAATTTGTATCTGTTGGGAAATGGACAATCTGATTTTAAAATGGAAGGTTGCTCAGACTAGGAACCACACTCCAGTGATGACACCATGCCCAAGAGTTGGTGGTCAATATCAAATGCAATGCTTGCTTTCAGCATGTGTTCATGTTTTATTGTGGTAGTTTTTGTTTTACTAGATTTAGTCTTGGTTTTCATTTTTTTTCTTTGAGAGAGAGAGAGAGAGAGAGAGAGAGAGAGAGAGAGAGAGAGAGAGAGAAACAGGGATATGAGAAGGAACTTGGTGGAGTTGGGAACAGGAAAATTTGATTAAAATATACTACAAGAAAAAAAATCAATGAATTGCAAAATGTGTAACATACATGAACAAGTAACATTATATGCATGAAATATCCACCGGAGAGAAAGAGAGAAAATCAGGATTTCATGAATACACATGCTGGAATAAAACCTTGTCAAGAACTAGACAAAAGTAAATAAAATCTAACCTACACTGGAAATATGAAACAACACTACAAATTATTTGATAAAACTTAAAGATTGGGTCTAATGCTGCCTTGTTCAATCTGTTTGGCCTAATATCAGGAATAGTGATTACATACATTACCTGCTTTTCACTAACAACAGAAGATGAGGCATTCTGATATTCATGAATGTTTGGGTCTGGCCCAGCTCCACTACCAACTCCACTCTTGGACTTGGAAACAAAAATGCTATTTGGTGTTTCCTTATAAACACAATAGGTGAAAATCATATGCTCATGACATAGAATGTTGATTAAAACTGGAGACCTTGCTCATATCTTATTCTCAAGCAGGATGACTGTAAAGGCACATATCTAAAAATTTGGTGCATGAAACCCTTTCTAAATGGATCTTCTGGTTGGGCCTCTCTAGGGTTGTAGCAGTTCATGCATTCCATGCTTATCAATAATATCTAACTGTGATCAAATTGGGAGCTCATTACTATATCCTCTGTCTCTCTGATATCACAGTAAAGGGGGTTGTGTATATTATATGTCTTCTTTGAATGTACATTTGTTCCCTTTTATGCCATTTCCCTCTGTGATGTGAGTTTGTATGTGAGTTTGTGTGTTTGTTTGCGGCAAAACAAAATCTGTACTATAATCTTCACAAGCTATGATGAAGTACCCATATAAAAATGTGGACTACTACATAAATTTCAAAATCATCCCTTGGGGTCTATTTGGTAATAAAATAGTTAAAATTATAAAAGGGAAAAGAATTATAAATCCACATGCGTAATGACAGTTACCTGGAAAGAATGAGAGTTAATAATCAAAATAAATTCCTCCAACATATAGAAAATATTACTTATTATACAAAAAATTAGCACATGTGTGGATCCTTAAAGGATAGTATAACTGTGTGTTAAATAGTAACCAAGAATGTTCACGTATATCATCTCCATTTCACATTGTCTTGGAAGGTTTCCTCAAAGCAGTTAGTGAGGAAAATAAATACTACACATATCTGGTTGTAGGATGTCTGGAGATCAAGGCAGACAATATTTTTACTATTTTTGTCAAAGGGCATAATGTTGTGTAAAGTAAAGTACTCAGTAGTAAAAAATATAAAATTGAGTTTAATAACTTAAGCAAAGTCCAGAATATAATAACAAAATATATAGTTCAATCTATAATTTACATGAGCAATCAATTATCCAAAATGAAATTGGGAAGCAAATTGTTATACAATACCATAGGCTGAGAGAGGGGTCTCCTCTGGTGTCAGCTTCTCGGGATGCAGGGAGGAAGGACAGCTTTAGTGCTTGAGTTGCAACCTCATGAGCAGCATCATCAGACCCTGTATCAGAAATAAATGACATAAATTAAAGGACAACACAGGGATAAATAAATATGAGTATTCTTAAAGATATAAACATGTACTTAAGATTATTAATAATATGCATTTACATGTTTAAATGTCACAATTCACTGACTTTAAGGAGACTATAATTCTCAAAGCTATTTAGAGACTTAAAGTATCCCATCCACAGTGAAGATATATTACTTTTTGCTCTACGCAAAACTCATTTAAACTTCATAAGAAACTGCCATAAGATAGGCAACATGGACACAATATTCAGATAGAAAAAGCAAAGATGGAGAACTTGACAATTCAGACATTTTTTCAAAACTTAGGACAAACTAGTTGACATGAAGTCATTTGGATATGGTATATAGTTAAATATAGAGTAGTGAAAGGAAATCAGATGCTCCAAAATGAATAGCTAAATATATTTGTGTGTGTGATCAAGGGTGTGTGAGGGGTCCAAAGTTGTGTGGAGGCAAGGCCAACAACAGATCTCTTTCTCCATTCAATCTCAACTTAATTTCTTTGAGACAGAGTCTGTCATTGATCCTAGATGTCAACAGTATATTAGACTGGTGGACCAATTCTGAGATTACAATGGAACTTGTGTGCATGTGTGTGCGTGTGTGTGTGTGTGTGTGTGTGTGTGTGTGTGTCTGTGTGTGTCTGTGTCTGTGTAAAACATCACCGAAACTAAAAAACTTCAGGTATTTGAAGACACAATAATTTTCAAAACCATTGGGAAAAGTGGATACAAAAGTGGATATGAAAATTGATTGCTTACTCAATGACACACAAAGGAGATTAAAATTTCCCATATGATGAATATGAGAAATTATATAAATAATAGTCTGAATAGTCATTTCTGTAAAGCAGCTCTATGAGGATTCAAGAAGTAAATTTAAAAATAAGTAGAAATATTAGGGGTGGTCAAAATGACAAGGACTCATTATTTCATATTTATTCCAAATTATCTAATACATATAAAGTATGTGCATAGATTAAATGATATTAAATACACTCTGGAAGATAATCTGCCCACCAGTGGCCATGAGTACTTAAGAAGAACATCAGAGCCATTCAGGAGATATATCTTTTCAAATTATTGGTAAGGGAGTCCAGAAAACTACTAAGAGTCTATTCCAACTGCCCTTGGTTGCTTCCAAGAAGTTGCAGTTCAGCCCTTATTGCTGAAATACTGCGTTTTTGTTATGGAAGTATAAAAATTTGAAGAGTAACTTTATAAAACCCTGGTAACTGGGGATCAGCTTTCAAAGACTAGGTAGGTTTTAGGAAAGCTTTTTGTGAAGAAAAGTATTAATTGTCCAATTTAGTTATGATACCTTTGAATGACAATGTCTAACATGGCTAGATTTCACTAAAGGTGAATGACTGGCTTATATATTTTATCAATAACTAATATCGACATAATTGAACTCAAATACTCCTTTAAAATGTCCATGGAACTTAAGCCTCCATACCACCACTTTCATAAAACATTGTAATACCTAACTGCACTACCATTATTGTCATATCTATAGAATAATATAGAGCAAAGAAGAACAAATGAATTCACTAGGATTTATTTATACACTAAAATGTATATAAGTTTATGTGTACATATATGTAACAATAATAATTAATAAGGAAGAAACGAATTTGAGAGTGGAGTGAGGAATACACAGTAAGAGTTTGAAGACAGTGATGTGGATATTATGAAAATACACAAGTCTTGTATTGAATTCTCGTATTTTAAAATAGAAAAGAATATAGCATAGGGACTTAGAAAACATTTTCAGCAGAATAGTAGGATAAGAGAGGACCATTCAGATGAAAATGAGCAAAACTCATATAGAATCATAAAAACACTATATTTGTTAAGAAAGATTAATCCAAAAAGAAAAGAATAAACAAATCAGGTCCTACATTAAACTGGAATTTCATGATTTTAAATGGAGAAAATACCAAGAGACCTAAAAGATAAATATTTTCTCCATAGTTAGAAAGGAAAAGATCCAAGAGGATGTCACTTCACAGAACACTTACTGGACATTGTCCTCAGGGCAATTTCTGGATAAAATGAACAGTTAATGTTTCTATGGAATGTAACAAACTACATCTAGTTGGAAAGAACATGTTATTTCTACAAATATAGTAAGACATACACACAATATATGGATTTAAAAATATGGTCAGCAAATATTCTAATACATGAAAACATAAAAAATGTAATTGAATTTTACATGCAAGAAATTAGTGATTGAAAAGGAAAGGGGAAAAAACACCAAGATTTACAATACCACCAGCTAGGTGTGATAACCATGTCTTCGGTGAAACCTTCTCAGAAGTTGTGGAGAAGTACTTCCTGTGAGCCTGAGTCTGAGATTATCATGAGCAACCTTGTCAGACACTGCATCAGAATCATAAAATAAAAAAAGGAAAATGTTTAGGAATGAATAGTGAGAAATAGTAAGACATGTACTCTTAAAAGAAAATCATTGTCATATGTTTAGTAAGTTCCACATAAGGTTTCAGAAGTCCCAAATTCCTAGACAAGTAGTTTTAATATTATTATGAATGCAGTATTTACAAGCAATATAGATATTAGGCAGAGAGGGCATACAGATCTTCATATGTGTCATTATTTTCTCAAAATGATAAATATATTCTAAAATATGTACAGAACCACAAGGAATCCAATATTGATGAATTTGTCCTGAAAATAAGAACAGGAGAGGAGCATTTTACTCATACTTCCTGTTTTCAAAACTTACTGGAATCTGACACAACACACACACACACACACACACACACACACACACACACACACACACACACACTTATAAATATAAAATTATTTGA